CTCGACACTGTCCAAATATTCTAAAACCATAAATCCGTTTTTGGAAAACAGATAAAATGAAACATTTTAAAAGAAAATAAAATAATTGTTACTTTAATTTGCCAGTGGAAGAAAAGAAATATTCAAACTTGACCGTCAGAAAAATTAAAACAATTTGGGCCATATATAATTATTATCGAAGCTACCCTTCTTGGATCATTATAAATATGAGTACCACCCGCCTCAACTCTACATCCCTCACAATACCACAAAACAACATCAACAATGTCTCCTTTGCTCTTTCTCTTCTTATTTTCACTTTCTTGTTTCTCTGCTAAAGCTACCGTTCCTCAATCTGCAACATTTAAGTTTGTCAATGAGGGAGAATTTGGGCCATACATCGTAGAATATGATGGCAACTACCGTGTTTTAAGCATCTTCAGCTCTCCATTTCAGCTCTGCTTTTACAACACCACCCCTAATGCCTTCACCCTTGCTCTACGCATGGCAACTAGGCGTTCAGAGTCGTTGTTCCGGTGGGTTTGGGAGGCCAACCGGGGCAATCCCGTTCACGAAAATGCCACGCTAACGTTCGGCACTGACGGGAATCTCGTCCTTGCCGACGTTGATGGCAGAATTGCTTGGCAGACTAACACAGCCAACAAGGGCGTCGTGGGGCTCAAGTTGCTGCCTAATGGTAACATGGTGCTCCATGACTCCAAGGGGAATTTCATCTGGCAAAGTTTTGATTACCCCACCGATACACTTTTAGTGGGCCAGTCTTTGAAGGCCAGAGGCGTGAACAAGCTTGTAAGCCGGGCTTCAGAGATGAATAATTCTGATGGGCTTTATAGCTTGGTCATGGAGCCCAAAAGATTGGCAATGTACTACAAGAACATTGTTTACTTCTCTTCTTCTCAGGTGCAAAGCGAACTAGATGGGCCTTTAGAGTCAGTTACACTCAGTGCTGCCCCTGAAAATGACCAAGATTATGCTTATGAAATTAACCTAGACTTCAAGGTTGCCAATTCCACGAACAGCAGGGGTCTCATCTTGACCAGGCCCAAGTACAACAGCACGTTGTCGATTCTCCGGCTCGGCATCGATGGTAACCTTAAGGTTTTCACTTACTATGACCCGGTTGATTACCGTGCATGGGAAGTGACCTTCACTCTATTCCACAGGGAGAATCAAATTTATGAGACAGAGTGCCAATTGCCGGAGAGATGTGGGAAATTTGGGGTTTGTGAAGATAATCAATGTGTGGCCTGCCCATTGCCAAATGGGCTTTTGGGCTGGAGTAAGGAGTGTGAGCCTAAGAAGGTGACCTCTTGTGCGCCAAAAGATTTTGGATATTACAAGGTGGAAGGAGTGGATCATTACATGAGCAAGTACAATGAGGGTCAAGGGCCCATGAAGGAGGGTGATTGTGGGAAGAAATGCACCTTGGATTGCAAGTGTTTGGGGTATTTTTACCACAGGGAAACATCCAAATGTTGGATTGCTTATGATTTGAAGACCCTAACTAAGTTCTCCAATTCTACACATGTGGGTTATATCAAGACACCCAACAAGTAATGAAAAAGTTGGAGCTAAGCATGCCAATGAACTGTTGGTAGAATGGGAATCTTTTATGTGTGTGTGTGTTTTTTTTAGGTTTTTTTTTTTTCTTGTTTGGTATTGTATTTCAAATGTTAATAATAAGAAATTGAAGTTTGAATTACTGCAAAATTGAAATTTCTTTTGCTCCTCTTTTTCTAATCTATCACATTCATATAAATATTTAAATACCTTCAACTCATAATCTTAAATTTAAGAATTTTAGTGAAAAAAGTTAAGATTATAAGATAAAAATTATTCCTTATGTTCAACTTTAATTAATCTACCTTTTTTTAAAATAAAATAAAAATATGATTATTAATTAATGTAAAAGTTCAAATTTATCCCTAACTGCTACTCTTTAAAGAGACATGTGTTTATTTAAATATGTAATAAAATTATAATACATGAAAAATATGTAGCCACACACAATTGGAAATCGCAAACCTGAGGGTAATTTTATCAAACATTGGTGAGCGTATATATACATAGCAATTCTTACAAAATATGGTGCGTATATTATTAACCCCAGATAAATAGTTTAAATTGATTCTTTTTCCAAAGAAATTGTTTAAACTCTAACATCATTTCAGCATTTTTAAGAGCACTCGCTCCAAATCTCACTGTCCAACTCACTCTAGATTTATCAAGTCTTGTTTATTTCGAAAATATGCGTCGGTGAGATTACCCATCAGCTACAAATGTAGTTAAATTCAAATTTGAATTTGCAAATTCATTACTCTAATCGAAAACTTAAACGCGGTCATTGGACTTGGCAATTTCCAGCTGCCATAGCATCGTGCATCATAACCTCAGACTGGCCCCAATATGCTAGTCCAGCTATTGAGTAGGAAAATTCATTATTGAGAATATAACATAGAATTATGTGAGTTAAATACAAAAAAAAAAATATTTATTATTAATTGATTTTAAATTAAATATAAATTTTATATTAAAATTCACATATTTAATTTTTATGTAATTACATAAAAACCTATTGTTAGCCTATATGTGAATTCGACATTGAAGATCCCATGTCGAAAAGTAAGGTTACTCCCTTTATTTTCACACCAACCATGGTTAATGCGGCAAACTTGATTAACTAATTAACGAGATTCAAATTACACGTGCACACCGACCAAAATAGATGAAAGAATACTTAATTTATGTATAAATTTTGAAGAAAAATAATAAAATTAACAATGAGTACGATCAAACTTTAAATTCTTCCCACATGACGAAAAATTAATAATGCCACAATATGACTAGATTGAGATTATTCCCTCTCTATAAATTAATAGATCATGTTCATTTCCTACACCCAACGTACCATCCACTATAGAGATGGCTTTTCCCTTCTTTACTATGTCTTTTCCGTTTTGTTCTTGATCTCCATCTTTCCATCCATTGTTCTTGCTTCTCTCCGAGACATTTACGTATGTCAATAAAGATGAAGGAGAATTCGCC